TAGGCATGCACCACCATGCCTGACTAATTTTTTTTTATGTTTTTAGTAGAAAAATTATTTTATATATTTATATAAAAATATAAAAATATAAAGTATTTTATATTTTGTCTTCAGACCAGTGCTGTGCCCCATCTCTGCCTTAAACTAAGAGAAAGTGGTGAAAATGCCAGTAGGTTTTCTGCCTTTCTGCTTCCAAGCCCTTTTTCAAACTCCTGCTGCATCAAAGGTGGTGACCAGTGTCACTTCCATTGCAAGCCAGGCAGGGAGCGTGGGACCTGAGGGAAACCAGAACATGAGCAGACAGAACCTGACCCTGGAAGTCAATGGACCCACATGGCCACCGGGGGGCACAATCGCTTTTGGTTTGGCAGCACAGCCTTTTTTTTTTTTTTAAAAAAAAGTCTCCACTTTGACAAAGGCCCCTTCCTGGGTAGTGCTGGCCTTGGAGGCCAGCCAGGCTGTGGATCCGACTTGTGGGCAGACGGGGGAGTTCCTCAAGGGGACTGTTTTGGTATCAACGTGACTGCAGTTGGCACAGCCCAAGGTCAACAACACTTATGGGCTGGAAAGGGCGCTGTCTGGTTGTGTTTGTTCAGGTCTAAAAACCATTTAGATCTGCGGTTCTCAAAGTGTGGTCTGCAGTTCCAGCACTAGGGAACTTGTTAGAAATGCAAATACTTGGGCCCTTACCCTAGACCTGCTGAATCGCACTGTGGGCGTGGGGCCGGGTTATCCGTTTTAAGAAGTCCTTCCGGGGATTCTGCCTCACATACAAGTTGGAGAAGCAGGGTTTAGACGATGCAGTGGAGGCCCTGCATCCTGCTCCCAGGTAGCCTCTTCCGTATTGCTCAGCTCACATCTGACTTTAATTTGGCCTGGCCAGAGCAACGCTCACTGCCCAGAGCTCACACAGATCTGCCGCAGGAGGGAAGCCCCTGGAAAGATTGTCTTCCCCTGGCCACTCCTGGGAAGGAGCTTGGAAGCTCAGTACAGGAGCTGGCTTGAGTCACAAGGTGTCGTTGTGATCCTTTGCTACACTGCTTCCAGCCTGAGACACCTTCCCAGGGATGTGGGCCGGCCCAGGCTGGGAGGGGATTCCAGGCCTTGCAGCCTGGAGCGCGCGTGTGTGTGTGTGTGTGTGTGTGTGTGTGTGTGTGTGTGTGTGT